GAAATGTAATAAACATGTTGGATATACATTGTTACAATGAAAGATATACAATGAAAGAGCCCACTCACCAAAAGAACCCAACAAGAAAAAAATAAAACAAAATGGACAAGCCCCCAATTATGTTACACCCCAGCCCGTGGAAAACCGGCGTGCAACATAAGGAAAATAAAAATAAGGAGAAATGCCCCCACACTCCCTGCTCTCAAGGAAGATGAACCAAAAAAAAACCAGCTACCACGGATTTCACAACAGCCAGTCAGTTTATTAAGTCCCAAAAGGTAGCGGGCGTCAGGGTGAGCATGGCCAAAACAACAAACAAAAACTCTAGAAATGAAATGCAGCTGGCTCACCTTCACAGAAAACCCCAAAAGAAAATTACAGGTGTCTTACCTGCCTCTCTAACCAAAAACAGGAGAAAAGGTTCCCAAAGAAAAAATGGCTTCTCACCCCTACAGCTACCGAGTAAAAAAATGTATCAACAACTATTTACATCTATATACAACAAACTATTTACAACACGGCAAATACTTCCAGAATACAAATTCACACGCAGCCACATGCACAGTTCGTTGGGAACAGGAAGTAGGCGGGGCGTGCCGGTTGAAAAGGGTCCTCATTTATAGCCGGCCTCTCCCAGTCCTCCACCAATGGTCAGCCTCCACCTGGAACACACATAGCAGCAATAACACAGGACACAAACTATGCCACCCTCTGGTGTGGCAGACAAAAAACACAGTACAAAAGAAACATCCATGACACTGAATCATAACAACATGTATACATATGAAATGCATCCTTGCAAATTCAAGAAACCTGCCCGTTGTTGTGAAGCGTCGACTCACGTTTATCATGTGAGTACACTTATACAGTGGAAACCCACAAATGTTTGCCAACAGGAGGAGAAGGATGACAACCAGTTAGTGTAACATATTGTCAGGATTTCAGGAAAGTCCGTATGGCTGTTAATGCAAAGTTAAATCATAACCCTCCAGCTGCACACAGACAATAGCAGTAAGCTGGGGAATCCTTCTGGAACAGTCTGAGCTGATAAGCTCTGTCATTAAGCGAACGTTTCGATGAAGATGAAACATTGTCGACTGACAACATATTCATTTCTGTCTGTGTCGTTTCACCAGTTGATCTTTGCAAATGCTCTGCTGCTTAAAACGTCATGTTTGGTGTGAAACATGCTGAAACAACAGGATTCAAGCTGCTGGGAGGGTCTGTGTCCTCTTCTGTGTGCATAATGAATCTATATCATAAGAAATCTATACGCGCAATTTATGCAAATCTTCTTGTAACCATGGTAACACAAGCCTGTTCCTCATTAAGGCACTCGAAGGCAGTTAAAACTGCAGACTGTTTGTGTCATCTGTGCACTATGTGTTTTCTTCCTCCCTCAGACACACACACACACACACACACACACACAGGGCTGTGACCTGTTACACAGCGTATGGTAGCAGATGGGGGTGGGTTGGCCTTTGACCCTGTATTTGATCGCCCCACTGTGCCTGAGTGAGAGAGAAAACACTGAAATATTACACCCAGCCCCCTGCCAAGCTCTCCAATCCTCTCCTCACCTAAACTCTTCTCCCGCTGCTCCTCTTCCTCCTCCTCGGGGCTGATTTGACACACTTGTCTTAAACATTACCATGTGGAGTTTATCTCTCTGCCCTTTATAAAGTACGGCACTAAAGAAGGGAGACTTCTTTAGTTATTGCACAACGTCTACACACACAAACATAGACAATCTCAGATTTGGCTCATTTCTCTTAACCCTTTTTTTTCTTCCCATTGTGTTTTTCCCCCTGTGCTTATACTCTTTTTCACCACCCCGGCATATCCCTGTCCTTTGTTTTGTCCTGCTCCTTTCCGTGACTTCTACACATCATTAGTTGCTGACATGGATCCACAGTTTGATCCTGGGAAAAGACACAAATACCTTTGAGGTTGTGTCAGGAACAAGCAACACAGAGTTGTTGTCTGTACTGATCTCAGATAGAGGCAGTGTGCAAAGTATGTTGTGGTATGTAGCTTGGGCCATAGCAGTAATTAAGTGTAAGCTAGCTTTTTTAATAGCTAAAAGTAATTTAATTGGAAATTAAGTTGTTGGTTTGTACAAAAACATTTTTTATTGTGCCAAATATTTAGTTTTTTTAGTAATTTAATAATAAATAAATTATATGTCCTCAATCCAGAAAAAGGAGCTAATGCCTGCTTAAGATTTCAACTCACAGTTGTGCTTTTTTTAAGCCACAGATGAACTTTCTGTCAACAGTAGTCTAAGGAGCTTGGAAAGGAAAGCGTCTGGACTCCTTTAAGTTGCTTGAAGATGTTTCACCTTTCAGCTGAGAAGCTTCTTCAGTTCTTGGGTCAAATGGTGGAGAGTCCTAAATTTAAGCCGATTTAAGCAGATTTTTGTCAACAGTAAAATCTTTTGGCCACCAACGTTTAAGCAGCTTTCATTTTAAGAGCAGTGAATGGATATTTCTTGCTAAAATACAATTTGGGACTTGTATTTTGCTTAGTAAACACTAATCTGATAAATTATTATAATACTATAATATTTCACCATAATTAAAGCCTATGCAGTTAAATTTAGTCATTAAAAAGAAAAAACACAAGCTAACTCTAGCTCAAGATCGACTAGCGCTTATCTTAACTGCAAGGTTAGCTTTTAGCTTATTTTCAGTTTACAATATTTGATAAACTTTCTTTGAATAACATGTTTAAACCTCCCGTAATTAACTATGTACGTGCTGTAAATAAGCTGCAAAGACATTATTAACATATAATCAGATTTTATGCTGGTATTTTACACTAACTAGCAAAAATTTACTAATAAGTCCAACAGTGTAAAATGTAGTTCAGGGGTCAGAAAAGTTCATTCAAAACTGAAGTTGCTTAAATCTGAATTCTTTTTAATGAACACGGGGGGATACTTCAACCTGAAATTCTATCTGTGTCTGGTAGACTCTTTATTAATGAGTTTATAGACTCAGAAAGGAGGATTGTTTAGCATATTGTCATTTGCTAATAAGGTTGGGCGATTGGATGAACATATCGACTATTGACGATAGGCCGAGCTTTTCGCCGATCGTTTACACAAGAGCGGTGTATTTATTTATTTGCCCATGAGTAAGTTTGCTAATATTGTTTATTGAAGCTAAGAGAAGCGGTCAACCAAACAAATAATAGCGCTGTTTTAATGGCACACTCTTCCAGCTGTGAACAAACGCACATTCCTCAGAGTTCGTAAAATGCAGTGACTCCTTTACTCAAACTCAGAAAGAACAAAAGGCAGCGGCCTGTGTTCAGAAAAAACACAAAAACATTTTATTTAAATAAAAAAACAACAACCATGGTGGGGAGGGAAACAACGAGAAACTGCATCTTTTTTCTACTATAACCGTGTTTACAGGCTGTTCCAGTGTTTGTCTTACACACTCGACCAAACAACAAATACAAATTAGACAAAAAGTAATTTAAAAATCAAAATGTCTCTTCCAGCCAGCACAAAAAAAATCTCAGTCATAATGTTAAGTCTTTTGTATGATTTGGCGAATCTCAAACAAAGAAATAAATGAATGAATAATCCAAAACGTAGCTATATTAATACTGAAACAAACAAGAAAAGAAGGTAAAATATTCCCTCAACAAACAAAACGTATAAATTCTAAACGTGAAAATTAGTCCATGCATGATTACATGGCTCCGCCCATCAAAATGTCAGTGCCTGCGC